AGAATCGCCCCGTATTTTTTGGGGCGGGTGCGAGGCGAGGCGAGGCCTGTGTGGCGGCTCCTGGGAGGGGCTAGGAGAGGGGCGGGCTTGGCGGGAGAGGGGTCCGCGGGCGGCGCGAGCGGGCGTCCGGTGAGCGGTGTGGACGGGGCCGTGCGTGGTTTTGCGAGATTCGACCGCGGGGCGGCGCCGTGGCCGTCGGGAGGCGAGGGATCCCGCAGCTGCTGTCCCGCACTGCTGCAGGCCGCCTGGCAGGCGGTGTCATGGCGCCCCGTGAGGTGCGCGGGGGAAGCGAGCGGCGCCGGGCCTGCCGCGCGGGGGCGGGCGGGGGCGGGGGCGGCGAGGTGGGCCCGTGCGAGCTGCTTTAGCACCTGTAATAAAGTCGGTCGTCCAAAGTCGAGCAGAGGGCCTGAAGATTTGCAGCGCGCGCGGGAAGGGTCATGGTGGTCGGTGGTTTTGTCGGACGAGGGAGCGAGTAGCGGAAAGACCGCCCGCTACTCCGGCGGAAGAGTGCTCCCCCGCCGCCCCCTGGGTCACCCCGAGTGACCTCGCAGCCCACGCCGTGAGGCGCTGCTGCTGTCAGGGGATGTTGGGGGCGTGCAAAGCGGCTGGGAAGAGACGGCCAGGCTCCTCGCGGGCAAAAGACTGACGTGGCCGCCGCATTCAGCCTCCGGCGGGCCTCCGGCGGACGCCTGCGGCGTGACGCTCCGCGCGAACAGCCCCGTCTCGGAAGCGCTGCGGGACGGCCTCGCTTCAACGTGCGCCTGCCGGGGTGGGGTGGTCACCAGATGAAATCGCGGCCGCAGCTGCTTCGAGGGGTGATTGAGGCCGGGCAGGAACGGCTTCTCCCGAGGTGCCCGCATCGAGTAGGCCGACGCCACAAGCAGGAGGGCTGCGTGGACCTCCTGGGCCTTCTTGGTCGGGTCGCTCCTCCTGGCATGGCGCTCGGCCTGCGAGCACGGGCGGAGCGAGCGGTGAGCGGGCAGTGTGCCGCCGGGCGGGGAGCTCCGTCACCCTATCGCGGAGCTCTGGTCCCGCCCCTGGGCCGGGATGCGACCCACAATAAAACCCGTCCCACCCGAAGCGCATCTGCCGGGAACGGCCTCCTCGAAACGGAGGCGCGGCGCGGGCGGCGCGCGGGGCAAACGGGCGCACCTTGGGGGCTCCGAGGGGCTTGCGGACGGGCTTTCAGGCCAGCCGCGGACCGGCGCCGGGTTCTCTCCGCGCCGCGAGCCAGGCGGGGCCGAAGAGGAGGACGGACCGCTCAGTCTGCCATCGTGGCTCTGTGGCCTCCCAGAGACCTCGCAGGCAGGTTCAGACCCCCTGCCTTCTCGGAACAAAAAGAAAAATCCTGGAGTTTCCGGTAGATTTCCAAACCCGTGTCGCTGAGGCATGTTGTTCGCAAGAGCGTCGCGCTCCTTCGCGCGAGCGCTCTCGTCGACGCCGCGGCTGACCAAAATCGTCGCCACCATCGGTCCCGCCAGCGAGCAGGCCGAGCCGCTGGGCCGCTGCCTCGTGGCCGGGATCAACGTGATGCGCGTCAACTTCTCGCACGCGACGGTCGATGAGTTCCACCTCCGCCGCACCAACCTGCGAGCGGCCGCGGGCGGCGAGCTCGTGCCCATCATGCTCGACACCAAGGGGCCCGAGATCCGGATGGGCGGCCTCGCGGTCTGCAAGGAGGGCGGCCGCAAGGCCAAGATCACACTGACTGCTGGGGCAGAGGTCCTCCTCACGACCGACCCAAGGCGCCGCCCGCGTCCACCACACGAGACCCGCACCCGGCGCGCGCCCGGCCGGCTGCGTCCGGTCCCGCCCACATCCTGGCCGCGCCGTGGACCAGGTACGACGGTGAGGGCGACGAGAAGACGATCTTCGTCGGGTACCCTCTGCTCGCGTCAAAGGTCTCGCCGGGGTTCGTGGTGCTGCTCGAC